TAGAATCGTGCGGTGATTGTCGCTGTTCTTTAACTTCTTGAATGAATTCGCGGAAATGATGACCCATACTGCCGTAGTAAGGAAAAACGTCGTATATAAGCATTCAAAAGTTGCCAAATTTCCCCTCAGAAAATTTCATTTTTGAAGGAAGTTATTCAAATCAAATTACGAGCAAAATACTCTGAAAACCGGAAAAAATATATTTACTAGTTTCATGAAAATTAGTGATCCTTCAAAGGAAATTTGGCAACGTCCAAAGGCTCATGTGTTGTTCTACCATAGCATGACAGCGTAAACATTATAAGATGGGATTGAATTTTGGATTGATCGGAAATAGCCCAAATGGCTTGAAAAGTCTCAAAATTTGAGCGTGAGTAAGCTTAAGAAAGTTTCTATTATGATGAGTGGTGTTTTAGAGCGCGGATGGACTCGGAATATAGCCTAAGGGTTAGCCTACGAATGAGCTAAATTTAAATCAGAATACCAAAGGTACGGCCTTTAAGGCGCGTAAGTTCGCCGCTTAAGTTGGAACCGAGAGCGTCTCGACGATCCGTCAAAAGAACAAGACCTTCGATGGACGCCGAACGCCCCCTTGCCGCTATGTGATACAAATAATTGCGGAAGCTTCGCGCCTTCAAGATACCATGCCACTTCCTGCACAACAACATTTAAATAAAGCGGGCTCATTTAGAGCTTATATCAATGAGCGATCTTCATGAAATTCGGACCGGCATATCTTTACTGAGAATGATGAAAAAATAAAAATTGATTGAACGGAAAAATTCACAATTTCATCTTACGTCATGGATTTTGAAAGAGAAAAAACCTAAGGGTCTGTTGGTAATTACCATGCTTATATCACTGTAAGGATAAAGCACAAAAACATAGCCCGAATATACGAATAAAGAGGGAAATTTAATTAAAATATATGGGTAAACAAGGCTAAAAATTATTGAAACACTAAAAGGCAGGACGTTTCGAGCTGCTACCAGCTCATTTTCAGATGAGTCTCATTTACCAGCTCATTTTTAGAGTGGTTACGTGTTAACA